CCGCCGGGAAGGGCCGCCCGGCTCTGGCTCTGAGCGCCGCGCGGGCTGTGCGCGGGGGCCGCGGCCGGGAGGCGGGGACACGGCCGGGCGGCGGCCGACGCAATCTGCCCAGGAAATGGGTGGATTTTTCCTCTCCGCTCCGGCTCCGCGCCGCCCCCTGGCTGCCGGCAGCGAGGTCTGCAAACCTCAGTCACCAGGAGACGGGATGGGGTGACTGGGGAGGAAAGACACGCCGCCGCCCCCTAAATCATAAAAACCCTCGGGTGGCGCGGCGGCCTTGGCTGCACGGATTGGTCGCCGACCCCCATCCCCACCTGCGGCCGGGCTGGGAGGGGCCCGGGCACGCTTCGGAGACCACACTCTCCCCGGCGCCCGCTCCACCCCGGGGTGGCTCCAGGCTGCCCGACAGCCCAGAGGGCGAGCTCTTGGCCGGCTCCGAAAGCAGCCCTTCGGGGTCTCCAGCCCCAGCGCTGGGAAAAGCCCTCCTGGGAGCTCTGCAGACAGGTGCGCTAAGGCCTCCGGGAGGCAGGTCTCCTGGCAGGTGCCGGCACCCACCTGTGCAGGCTCCTGGGCGCGGGTGCAGGAGCTGGGTGTAGGTTTGGGGTTCCCGCATCCCAGGAGGGGAGCTAAAAGGGTCCCACCCACCCATGAGCAGACCTCCGGGGTCTGTAGTTGGGGGGCAGGTGTGGAACCACAGTCTTGGTGCCCGGGCAGAGAGGCAGAGCAGGCCGGCACAAGCCCCCAGCCCTCTGCAGCCTCAGCGCCAGGACACATGTAAGTCTCCTTGGAGGCACAGGCCTGACTGGGTCGAACACCTTAATAGGGCTTATCTCTTCTAAATGTTCTCAGCCATTTGGGAAGGACCATCCTTCATTACTTCCTACACTCTCTTCTGCCTGGGTGAACATTAACCTCCATTCCTGGATGGGCACTGGGAGGAAGCAGCCAGCCTTTGCGATGCCCAGCTAAGATGGACACCACCTTCCTAGGACACCACCTCTCTGTTCCGTCCCCATTTGCAGAAGGGGCTCAGTTACAGCCAGAATGATCTTGGCCTCAGTGCTGGGTGTGAGAGCCTCCAGCTGCAGGGGTTTCTCTGATTTGTTTTCATGATTTAATCCCCAGGATCTGTGGCAGCTTCTGGGTAGGATGCCAGGAATTCCAACTGTTGGGGAAGGGCGCCATCTCCCAGCGCGAGCTGGTACTGCAGACTGCGCTCAACCAGCCGGGCCACGTTACACCTGAGGGTGCTGCAGACGGCGTTCACCCCGCCGCCGAGGCTCCTCCCCTTTCTCTTTCAATGCACATTCAACACGGATTCAGGGACACAGGCCGCTCACACCCGCTTCCCACTGCAGAAGGGCAGCAACCACTTATTTTGTTGGAACAAATCCAGCTCAATCCAATCTACAAAGCCCTCAGGCTGTCCATCTCAGAAGCTGCAGATATTTAATTCCTACTAAGTGCATGATGTGGGGTACAGCGTGCTGCAGACCCCAGGTCAGAACCAAGACACAGGATAGCGTGTGCTGTGCACCCAGGACAGAAGCGACGCCAAGACAATAGTAGCAGATTCCTGGGCACCTTCCGTGGCCGGGCACGGTGCGTGAATAAACACTTCCTCACAAGCAACCCAGTACGTGCCAGAGAAGGGATCTCAGAACAGTCACTGCATGCACACACAGTGGTGCTGGGCAGCCTGGGCTCCAGCCCTGCCGCTGCCACTTACAGGCTGTGAGACCCTGGCCAAGGTAATTAGCCCTCTGTGCCTCAGTTTCCCCATCTCTAAAATGGGCTTAATAACAGTAACCTTCCTGTCCGAGCATTGTGGGGATTAAATGAGTTAGTGCAGGAGCAGGCGTGCCACCCACTGGTGGCGCCAGTCCTTGTCATCCCCACTTTGCAGAAGACCAAACATGCCCAGAGGGGACCCTCTGCCGAGTGATAGGCACCAGAGCAGGATTCAGTGTCTCTGGGGACCTCTGCAGCACTCTTAAGAGCTGCTTTTGCCTCAAGACCATGGACAAGAGATGCTGTGGATATGGCTGTACACGTGTGGGGGTCCAGTTAGATGTGAGAACGCCTCCCAGCTAGGTGCTGGGAGGGCGACACCCCAGATGGGCAGATACAAAGCAAAAACTCCTACTTTGAAGAACTTCTGGTTTGATTTCATGTCAGGAATGTCCCACAAGGACTTCCAGTTAGTACTTGAAATTTGAAGAGTGCTAACTTGGCTGGCTTCTCGCTTCTCAGCGGAGGAAAAGGAAATCCAGGTGGTTTTCAACAGCGAGGCTGGATGCTGCTGGGGAGCGTCTGGGGGAGAGGTGGGTGCGCTGCCATCAGCCCCCGGCCCAGGGACTCTCTCCGACCCTCTAGGGAACAGGCAGTTAGGGCCAGCCTGGGGGTTTGAAACCCCTTATATTTCTCCTGAGTTTGCGGTTGTGTTGGGGAGCCAGGCAGGACTTACGCATCCTCTCAGGGGCGGCTGAGAAGCGGCCTTTTAAACGTGGCTTTGGTGGCTGCGGTCACCCTGGGCTTGTCAGCTGGGGCCGGCACCTT